CATCCGTTGGCGCAACTCTGTCCTCTAAGGGCGGCGTGAACCCGGTAGCAGCCGCATGGTTCGCAGGCCAGCTGGCATCCGAGGATGCATCTGACCGCTAAGGTCAAAAGATAATATCTATGATGAAACAAAAAGGCCCGGAGAATCCTCCGGGCCTTTTTATATTCTGTCAGTGCAGGAAAACCCTGTTCGGGTGCAATTCACCAGCTTTATAAACCCCGACGGCCACAGCCTTACCTTCAAAAGACGCCCAGGCCTCATCGCCATATTCCGCATCACTGCTGAAAACCAACCCCGGATTCCCGTTCTTCATTTTCACCGCACCTTCCGCCGTCGCGGTAACTTCGGGGATGCCGTCAAGGCCCGCTTCAAGCGGGTGCAGGTATTGGTCAAGCTCGCCGGTTTTGGCAAATTCTTCAACGGTTTCCATGCTGATGCCATCCACAGTTTCAAACGGGCCGGACCAGATGCGGCGCAGCTCGCGCACATGACCAAGACAGCCCAGCTTTTCACCCAGATCCCGGGCAATCGCGCGCACATAGCCGCCTTTGCCACAGGTCATTTCCAGCTCGACATGGTCTTCATCCGGACGGGAAATAAACTTCAGCTCTTCCACATAAAGCGGGCGCGCTTCGATCTGAACATCTTCGCCATCACGCGCCAGTTTATAAGCGCGCTGACCGTCGATTTTCACCGCAGAAAACTTTGGCGGAATCTGCATAACGTCGCCCACAAAATCAGGCAGTGCTGCGATAATATCCTCATCAGAAGGGCGCAGATCGTTTTCCCGCGATCACTTCGCCTTCCTGATCATCCGTGTTGGTCGCCTGGCCCAGACGCACCGTAAAACGGTAAGCTTTCAGCGCATCGGTGATAAACGGCACGGTCTTGGTGGCTTCGCCCAGCGCAATCGCCAGAACACCGGTGGCTTCGGGATCAAGCGTGCCTGCATGGCCAGCTTTCTTTGCATCCATCGCCCAGCGCACTTTGTTCACCACCGCGCTTGATGAAATGCCCGCCGGTTTATCAATCACCAGCCAGCCAGAAATATCGCGACCTTTGCGCTTGCGTGCCATGTTCAGACCTTTGTTTCTTATGGAAACCGCCTGCTAACGGGCGGCGGCCTCTGCGTCAAGCGTTAGGGGGTTACAACCGTGCCGACAATCGCACCAACCGAGAAACCAAAATCAGATCGCCCGGTGGTTCCATTGTAAAGCCGGGACACTTTACCATCAAAGTAAAGCGCGTTGGGCAGGTTCAGGTAATCCCGGAACAGCGTTGCGAAATCGTGGAAATTTACACGTTCATTGGAAATCGCGAACACCGCGCGTTGCCCGTCGGCAGATGTACCCACACCATTGCGGATGTGTTTAGACGTGCCATCCGGCAGCAGGCGCGGATGCAATTCGCCATCAATCACCAGCATCGGGCCGGATTGCGTGGCATATTCACAGGTGGGGCTGGTTTCGCGAAACGCGTTGGTTTCAATCACATTCAGCGTGTCGCCAATGCAAAACACACCATTTGGTGTCAGACCAAAGTTGCCAAACCCACCGCCAGAGGCCAGAGCAGATTTTTCTGCGCCGCCTTCGATATAAAGACCAACCGGGCTGTAATCATCGTGATACATGCCCGCATTCATCGCAAAGCCCAGCGCCTGGCCTTCGGGCAGATTATTGTTGATGGTGGAAAAATGCCCCATCACTTCGCCATCCGCATCGGAATGAAAAAGGCGCAGGTCCGCATTGGCCTGCACCTCACAGATGGTGAAAGACTGATCAAGCCAGGTCACATCTTCGCACGGGTTGTCCGCTGCAAAAGCAGGGGACAGAAGGCAAAGATATGCGACAATCAGTTTCTTCAAATGTCGTCTTCCTCATCAGGCAGGGCAACATCGCGCTTTACCTTATCATTGTCCAGAAGACGGCGGGTCGCATCCATCTGGTCAAAGGTCATGTCGATTTCATAGCGCAGTTCCGGCGTGTGTTTCAGCGCCATCTTTTTCCCAATCATCCGGCGGATTTCATGGCGGTTCTTGCGCAAAAGCGACAGGGCATCTTCCGCACCTTCACCACCCAGAGGCAGGATAAAAGCAGTTGCGATATGCAGGTCCGGGGTGCAGCGCACCTCGCCCACGGTGATCGAAATGCGGTTCAGATCCGGATCGTGGATATCCCCACGCATCAGGATTTCGGACAGATTGCGACGGATCAGTTCGCCGACGCGAAGCTGCCGCTGTGACGGGCCACGCCCGGCGTTATGTGAATTCTTTGCCATATACCCCGTGTAAATGCGTGCGCGCGGCGGCGCAAGCAGGGGTTTTCACACGGCCACGATCAGGCTATTGCCTGCTGTTAAGGAAAATGGAGTGCGCAAGATGACAGATCTTCCCGGTGTGGTGATTACAGGGGCGTCCGGCCGTATGGGCCAGATGCTGATCAAAACGATTTCCGCCAGCGATAAGCTGCGTCTTGTCGGCGCGCTGGAACGTCCCGGCCATGACTGGATCGGGCGTGATGTGGGCGAAGCCATGGGCGGCGCTGCACTTGGCGTTGCGGTGACGGACGATGCGCTGGAAGCGTTTTCCAAAGCCCAGGCCGTGATTGATTTCACATCCCCTGATGCCTCTGTCGCTTTTGCAGATCTCGCGGCACAAGCCCGTGCGGTACATGTGATCGGCACCACTGGCTTTGAAGACCACCACATTGAACGCCTTGGTTTCGCCGCGCTGCATGCACGCATTGTCCGCGCCGGCAACATGAGCCTGGGTGTCAATCTGCTGGTACAGCTGACCAAGAAAGTTGCAGCCGCCCTGGATGAAGATTTCGACATTGAAGTGATCGAAGCCCACCACAATCAGAAAGTCGACGCCCCCTCCGGCACCGCCCTGATGCTGGGCGAAGCTGCGGCTGAGGGCCGTGGCGTTGATCTGCAAGAGGTGTCCGATAACGCCCGCCACGGCATCACCGGCAAACGTGAACGCGGCCATATCGGATTTTCCAACATCCGTGGTGGCGACATCATTGGTGAACATGATGTGCTGTTCGCAGGCCCGGGCGAACGCATCACCCTGCGCCACGCCGCAAGTGACCGCAGCATTTACGCCCGTGGTGCAATGAAAGCTGTGCTTTGGGGGCTGGATCAGAAACCGGGCGCCTATGACATGCTGGATGTGCTGGGGCTGAATTAAGCCCCCCTCTCTCCTTCGTGATTTGGAAGCAACGGCCTGCAAGGTCTAAGCTTCCAAAAACACCAGGGGGAAAAGAACATGAAGTCCGATATTCTACTGACACGCCGCCAGGCGCTGATCACCGGGGCATCGCTGCCGCTTGCGGCTGCCTCGGCCATGCCAACCCTTGCTGCGGCTGAGATGCAGGGGGCGTATACCCCGGCTTTCTCACGTTTCACGCTGGGTGATTTTGAAATCACGACACTTCTGGCCGGAACAACCGTTGCAGGCGATGTTCAGGGCATCTTCGGCACAAATGTCAGTTCTGAGGAATTTGCCGATGTGTCCGCACGCAATTTCATTCCCGCCGATCAGACCGAATTCTACTTCACGCCGACCCTTGTGAACACCGGCCAGGATCTGATCCTCTTTGATACCGGCCTGAACGCAGCACAACTTATTCAGGCCCTGAATGCCTCTGGCTACACAGCGGAACAAATTGATGTGGTTGTCATCACCCATATGCATTTTGACCACATCGGCGGATTGATGGCCGATGGCACCCCGACCTTCCCCAATGCGCGTTATGTCACGGGATCAGTCGAATACAACCACTGGAATGGCGCGGAAGACGCGGCATTTGAAAGCAACGTGCGCCCGCTGGCCGAAAGATGAGCTTCCTGGAAGACGGCGGATCCGTCGCCCCGGGGATCACTGCTGTGGCGGCATTCGGGCACACCCCAGGCCATATGGCGTTTATGATCGAAAGCCAGGGGCAATCTGTGTTGCTGTTCGGGGATACGGCAAACCATTATGTCTGGTCACTGGGATACCCCTATTGGGAAGTGCGCTTTGACATGGACAAACCGCGGCTGCCACCACCCGGCGCAGGCTGCTGGATATGCTGGCCAGCGATAGGATACCCTTTATCGGCTATCACATGCCTTTCCCGGCCCTTGGATATGTGGAACGCCGGGACAGCGGGTTCCGCTATGTTCCCGCAAGCTATCAGTTCCGGCTGTGATCAGAGCGCGGGCAAACCGCTGAAATTTTCAAACCCTTCTGTGGTGCTGGCGACTGAGGCTTCAAACCTCTCAATCATCGGCATCGCGAAGGGTTCTACTTTTTCCGCCCAGACCGGCCCGTCATAGAATTCATTCTTTATGCGTTCCCGGGCCTCTTCCGTGTCAAAAGCCCGCATCCAGTGCACAACATCCGGGTTTTCTTCATCCCGCATCGGGCCAAAAACCCGCATACCTGCATCGCGCAAAGCCTGACGATTCACCGTTTCAAAGAAGTGAATGAAATCTTCGCGCCTGCCGGGTTTCAGTGTGTATCTGCGAATTTCAATAATCATAGGCTGCCAGGTCAGAAATCGACCGCGATTCCCTTTTTCTCCCAGTCGCCGTAACGCACGGGTTCCGGCCCTTCGCGTCCGCCCAGCTCGACCGGCATCGTATCGCCCTTTGCGGCCTTTTTACGTGCAGCAGCCTCTGCCAGCGCGCGGCCTGCGGGGGTGGACAGATCAAATTCCTGAGGCTCAGACATAGCGCAAACCTTTGTGCAGCTTGTGGTGTTCGCCTCTGTCATATAGGGAAACAGACCTTACGGGCAAGCAAAGGACACGGATATGGCGGAACAGGGACTGGCAGCACGACAGGCAGCAGCGGCGCTTTTGCGCGGGGTTCTTGTGGATGGGCGCCTGCTATCAGAATTGCCCGCACCAAAATTATCCGATCCGGCGGAACTTGCCCGCGCCCAGCGTCTGGCCGTCACAACCCTGCGCTGGCAGGACCGGGCGGATCGCCTGTTGGGCCGGTATCTGCGCAAAATGCCCCCGGCTGAGGCCATGGTCCTACTGCGTCTTGGTACGGTTGAGATCTGCGAAGAAGGCGCTGCCGCCCATGGTGTTGTGAACGCCATGGTCAGCCTTGCGCAGAAACACAAAAGCACAAAACATTTCAAAGGCCTGATCAACGCGACCCTGCGCAAGGTGGGCGGCGAGGGCCGTGGCAAATGGCGCAGCCTGCCTGCCCCGCAGCTGCCGAAATGGCTGCGCAAACCGCTGGGCGATGATTACGGCAAGGCCACCGTCGCTGCGATGGAAGAAGTTCAGGCCATGCAGCCCCCTCTGGATCTGACGGTGAAGAATGGCGACAGCCAGGCGCTGGCTGAAAAGCTTGGTGGCGAGGTTATGCCGGGTGGTTCCGTGCGCCTGCGCGAATTTGGTCAGGTCAGCAAACTGCCCGGCTTTAAAGAAGGTGACTGGTGGGTACAGGATATGGCCGCCGCCCTGCCCGTGCAGCTGCTGGATCTGAAACCTGGTGAAAAAGCCCTGGATCTTTGCGCCGCTCCTGGCGGGAAAACCATGCAGATGGCCGCGCTTGGCGCAGATGTTACCGCATTGGATCTGTCAGAAAAACGCATGACACGGGTACAGGAAAACCTGGACCGTACTGGTTTGAGCGCAAAGCTGGTCACAGGGGACGCGCTGGAACATCAGGGGCAATATGATGCGATTCTGCTGGATGCGCCCTGTTCTGCCACCGGCACCATGCGCCGCCATCCAGATCTGGCGCGTGCCAAGGATGGTTCCGATTTCCCGGGTCTCTTTGAACTTCAGGAACGTATGATCGACCACGCCCTGACATTGCTGGCCCCTGGCGGACGTCTGGTATTCTGCACCTGTTCCCTGCTGCCGGATGAAGGTGAAATTCAGACAGAAGACGCGCTGAAACGGCATGATGGCCTTGAAATCATCAAACCCGACCTGCCGTTTATCGACCCGGCATGGATCAAACCGGAAGGCGGCATTCGCCTGCGGCCCGATTACCTGGCGGATCAGGGTGGCATGGATGGGTTCTATATGGCGCTTATGCGTAAGACCTGACATTTTTTCACGGTGACAGCGCCCCGGCGCACAGTTTATGTTTGTATGAACCACCAGAACAGAATCTGGATAAGCAGACAGGGCAACAGGCACAGCGTGGCACGAGAAGAAACCATCAGCGCAAAAATCGCACGGCTGACAAACCGGCTTCAGGCGCGGCGTGCCCGTCGTGCACAGCCTGCGACCGGCTTTGTGTCGCAGCCGGAACCGCGCACCCTGGGTTCTTTTGCCAAAGGCCGGCAGCTTTGCGCCGGGAATTTCCTGTTTGCCGGTCACCTGGCTGAGGCCCGCGATACCCTGATCTGGGATATCGACATGCCGTCGCGTGCCTTTGAAGAAACCCTGAACGGTTTCACATGGCTGGATGATATGGCCGCAGTCGGTGATCTGAAATCCCGGCAGAAAGCCCAGGCCTGGCTTATGGCCTGGATTGATCGCTATGGCGGGGGTGCCGGTGCGGGCTGGACACCGGATCTGACCGGGCGGCGCATTATCCGCTGGATCAACCACGCACTGTTTCTGCTGAACAACCTGCCATCTGAGGATTCCGATCGTTTCTTTGCCAGTATGGGTCAACAAGTGTCTTTCCTGTCCAAACGCTGGAAAGTCGCAAGCCCCGGCCTGCCCCGGTTTGAGGCCCTCACCGGACTGATTTACGCGGGCCTCGCCCTGAGCGGCATGGATCATCTGGTGAAACCTGCCATGGATGCCCTGGCAAAAGAATGCACCGCGCAAATTGATGATCAGGGCGGCATTCCCACACGAAGCCCCGAAGAACTGCTTGAAGTCTTCACCCTGCTCACATGGGCCGCAGCCGCCCTGGCCGAAGCCGGGCGCATGGCACCCGAGGCCCATAAAGCCGCGATTGATCGCATCGCTCCAACCCTGCGCAGCCTGCGTCATGCGGATGGCGGGCTTGCGCGTTTTCACAGCGGCGGGCGCGGCACAGAAGGACGGCTTGACCATGCGCTGGCGGCATCCGGCATCCGCGCAAAGACCCGCAAAGGTCTGTCCATGGGGTTTGCCCGACTTCAGGCCGGACGCACCAGCATTGTGATTGATGCAAGCGCCCCGCCCAAAGGCGAATTCTCCGCCAATGCCCACGCATCGACCTTCGCAATGGAACTGACATCCGGGCGCAGACCGCTGATCGTGAACTGCGGTTGCGGGGCCGGGTTTGGCGAAGACTGGCAGCGCGCCGGGCGGGCCACCCCATCCCATTCCACGCTGGGGATTGAAGGTTATTCCTCCGCCCGCCTCGGCACTGCCGGTTATATCGGTGGGCAAAAGCGCGAACTGCTGACGCAGGGCGCAAAAGATGTGCTGCTGGAAAGCAGTTCCGGCCTGGAAAACATCCATTTCCACGGCGGCCATGATGGCTATCGCGAAAGCCACGGGCTGACCCATGTGCGCGAACTTGATCTCAGCCAGGACGGGCGGGTGCTGATTGGCGAAGACACGCTGATGACCCTGACCGACCCGGACAAACAGAAATTCGACGCCGCCATGGATCAGGTCAAACTGCAAGGCATCCGGTTTCAGTTGCGTTTTCACCTGCACCCTGACGTGGATGCGGCGCTTGATATGGGGGGCAAAGCGGTTTCGCTGGCCCTGCGCAGCGGGGAAATCTGGGTCTTCCGGCAAAACGGCAGCCATGGAATCAGCCTGGAACCCTCGGTTTATCTGGAAAAAGACCGCATAAAACCGCGTGCGACGAAACAAATCGTTCTATCCGGCCGGGTTATGGAGTATGCCGCCCGCATAAGCTGGACTCTTTCCAAGACCCAGGACACGCCCACCGCCGTGCGTGACCTGCAGATGGATGAACCCGACTTCGACATGTGACCAAGTTCTGACCCAACGCCAGGAAGCCCTGATGACCGATCTTTCCCCAATCCGCCGCGCCCTTATCTCTGTGTCCGACAAATCCGGGCTGATCGACCTCGCCCGTTCTCTTGCTGATCGCGGGGTTGAACTTCTGTCCACCGGCGGCTCCGCTGCGGCGATCCGGGATGCGGGCATTGCGGTGAAAGATGTATCCGACATCACGAACTTCCCTGAAATGATGGATGGTCGCGTCAAAACCCTGCACCCGAAAGTGCATGGTGGTCTGCTGGCCCTGCGTGACAATGATGATCACGTGGCTGCGATGAACGAACACGGCATTGGCGCGATCGACCTGCTGGTTGTGAACCTGTACCCGTTCGAAGCCGCCCTTGCCCGTGGTGCTGATTATGCTGAGATGATCGAAAATATCGACATCGGCGGCCCCGCAATGATCCGCGCGGCAGCCAAGAACCACGGTTTTGTCACCACCATCGTTGATGTTGAGGATTACAGCGCGCTCCTGGGTGAACTGGATACAAACGATGGTGCAACAACTTACGCCTTCCGTCAGCAACAAGCCCAGATCGCTTATGCCCGCACCGGCGCTTATGATGCGGCGGTTTCCACCTGGATGGCCGCAAGCATTGGCAAAGAAACTCCACGCCGCCGTGTTTTCGCGGGTGAGCTGAAGCAAAGCCTGCGTTACGGTGAAAACAGCCACCAGCAGGCGGCGTTTTATACCGATGGTTCTGATCGCCCCGGCGTTGCAACCGCCGTGCAACTGCAGGGCAAAGAACTGTCTTACAACAACATCAACGACACCGACGCCGCTTATGAACTGGTTGCGGAATTTGATCCGGCGGAAACCGCTGCCGTTGCCATCATCAAACACGCAAACCCTTGTGGTGTTGCCAAAGGCGCGACCCTGGTTGAAGCGTACCAGAAAGCCTTTGACTGCGACCGTACCTCTGCCTTTGGTGGGATCGTGGCGTTGAACCAACCCCTGGATGCAGAAACCGCCACCAAGATCGTTGAGATCTTTACTGAGGTCGTGATTGCGCCGGGTGCCTCTGATGAGGCCAAAGAAATCTTCGCGGCCAAGAAAACCTGCGCCTTCTGCTGACCGATGCCCTGCCTGCGCCGCGTGCGTCCATCACCGCGTATAAACAGGTGTCTGGCGGTATGCTGGTTCAGGACAAAGACGTGGGTTACGTCGGCATGGATGACCTGAAAGTCGTCACAGAAAAAGCCCCGACAGATGAACAAATGCAGGATCTGCTGTTCGCCTGGAAAGTCGCGAAACACGTGAAATCCAACGCGATTGTTTACGTGAAAGACCACGCGACCGTTGGCGTCGGCGCCGGCCAGATGAGCCGCCTCGACAGTGCCAATGTCGCCGCCTCCAAAGCGCAACGTATGGCCGATGAACTGGGTCTGGATGCCAGCCTTGCCAAAGGCTCTGCCGTGGCTTCTGATGCGTTCTTCCCCTTTGCTGACGGACTGCTGGAAGCTGCTGCAGCGGGTGCCACCTGTGTGATTCAGCCAGGCGGTTCCATGCGCGATGACGATGTGATCAAGGCCGCAAATGACGCGGGCCTTGCCATGGTCTTCACCGGCATGCGCCACTTCCGTCACTAAGCAACAGGCCAGGAGCCCGACACAATGAAACGCATGTTTATCGCCGGGTTCCTGACCTTCCTGCTGGACCAGCTGTCCAAGCAATGTGTCGTCGAATGGCTGGATCTGAAAACCTTGGGCGTGATGGAAGTCTTCCCGCCCTATCTGACCTTCCACATGGCCTATAACTACGGCATCAATTTCGGCCTGTTCAGCGGTTCTGATTCCCGCTGGCTGCTGATTGCCCTGGCCCTTGTGATTTCCGCCTGGGTGGCCTGGTGGGTGCGCAGTGAGGGCGACAAAAAATGGATGCAGATTTCCGGCGGCATCCTGATTGGCGGCGCATTGGGCAATGTGATTGACCGGGTGGTTTACGGCGCGGTTCTGGATTTTCTGAACATGTCCTGCTGCGGCTTTGAAAACCCCTATTCCTTTAATGTCGCCGATATCGCGATTTTCATTGGCGCTTTTGGCCTTGTGATCTTTTCCGGAAACAAAAAGACCCGCTGAATACGCCAGGATTTGCCGAAGCTGAATATGCCAGGTGACGTGCGGTTTTGCACAGGCTATAGAGTGATAAGAACGCAGGAGAGACCGATGCAGACCACATTCATCAAGACCGCCACAATCCTGGCCCTTCTGATGCTGCCGGCCGCCTGTGGCGGACGCAACAGCGAACCCGATCTGCTGGAACTGACAAAGTCTGGCACCGGCCCGGATGAATTTGCAATCCTGCCCTCACGCCCTCTGGAAACACCAACGGATCTGGCAGCACTGCCCACGCCAACCCCCGGCGGCAACAACCGCACCGATCCAAATCCGCTGGCTGATGCCGTTGTCGCCCTTGGCGGCAGTGCGGGCGCACTGACTGAAGACGGCACCACCGGGCCGGACAGCAGCCTTCTGGCACATGCGTCGCGCCACGGCTATTCCCCGGATATTCGTCAGGTGACCGCCGCCGAAGATCTGGAATTCCGCCGCAACAACCGTGGCCGTGTTCTGGAACGTGCGTTCAACGTCAGCGTCTACTTCCGCAAATACCGCCACCAGGCGCTGGATCAGCAGGCTGAACTGCAACGTCTGCGTCAGGCGGGCATCCGCACATCTGCCGCACCATCCGCACCGGCGGAATGACGCGGATTTGAAAAGGCCGGGCTTGTAAGTTTCCGGCCTTCTCATACATTGATCACAGACATAATTATGAGGCGTTTTATGCTGCACCGGATTCTGAAACCTCTGGCGGCACTGGCCTGTTTTGCCCTGCCCGTCACGGCTGAAACCGTGACCGATTTCACCCTGGACAACGGGATGGAAGTGGTCGTGATCGAAGATCACCGCGCCCCTGTCGTCGTGCAGATGGTCTGGTATCGGGTCGGCGCAGCGGACGAACCCGCAGGTAAATCCGGCATTGCGCATTTCCTGGAACATCTGCTGTTTCGCGGCACCGAAAACCTTGCCCCCGGTGAGTTTTCCGAAACCGTCGCAGCGAATGGCGGCACCGATAACGCTTTCACCAGCTGGGATTACACCGCGTATCATCAGCGCGTCGCCTCTGA